AATTTTTTTTAAACAAACATGTTTAAATCCGCAGACGATAAAAGTGAGGCATATTAAATTAGTTATACATTTGTTGATTGCAAATTAGCGTGAGTTTTGAGAAATCTCATTCTGCTGGTACTTTTAAGCGATTTATAAACGAAGGAGTTATTCAATTGGCCTTGATTTTTTTATTATTTTTCGGGATTTGAACCGATTTTCACATTTACTTTTTTATCGACAAGGTGCACTTCTCTGAGCCATCTTATGTAATAATTGATCACACATTTTTTGAAAAGTTGAATCTTAAATTATTTAGAGTAGATAATGAATGTATTATGACAGATAATTTGCAAGCCTTTGTTTTTGATTATTATTTGTAATCTAATACATACGTACATACATACGTTCATATCTGTTACGCCTGTCTCCCATTAGGGTAGGCAGAAACAATGGAACGCCAAATGCTTCGATTCAAACAAACCTCTTTCGCTTCTTCCACACTCATCAATCTTTTCATACACGCTCGCCGGTTACGGGTACTTTTAATTTGGCCCTTCATCAGCACGTCGCCTACTTGGTCAACATACGTCCGTCTAGGGCGGCCCCTACCGACATCTATTTTGTAATCTAATACAATACTTATTATTATCTGCAACGAAAATATTGCGTAGTAAAAGAAACGATTATCTCGATAACTCACAATTAAAAAGTTAACCTGATTAAGGTCGCAGAAGCCATCGGAGTCACAATTTCACTAGGCATTGTGTTGGGGCATTTTTCTTAATTTTCCGTCAGAAGCTCGAGTGGAATAATAACGCGTCTAATGGGCTTTTTCTGGTCTTTTATACCACAGTATTTTCCACGTAAAATGTTTATACGATCTTTTCACAGTCTGATCTCTTTGAATGATGCCGTAAAGGTGGTATTGTTGTAATATTTGAACCAATTATTTTTTTCAAATCGAGGAGGGAAAATTAATTAAGAACAAAATATTAAATTTTCTGCACACATCTATTTTTCAACCGACTTCGAGATGGAAACGTTTCTTAATTCGTTTGTATATTTTTTTCTTTTTATATTTGTTACCTCATACATAGACTTCCTATGTATAAGGTAACAAATAAGGAACGGTCTTGAGCCATCTGCATCCAATGACTCCCTGCAATGCATTTGATGTCGTCACTCCATCTAGTGGGGGGTCGTCCTACACTGTCATTGCTCGTACGGGGACGCCACTCAAGAACCTTTCGTCCCTATCGGTTGTCGGTTCCTCAAGTTATGTGACAATGGGCTGGTCATATAACTAAATAACATAGAATTGTGTACATAATATTATATTGTTGTCACGTAAGACTATTTATGGCGTGGCACTTGAGTAACGGAAGGAAGTTCGGAAGTTAGGGAGGAAGTATGCTCGCTTCATGTCGTACTTCACTCCGCTAGGGTTGCCACAAATGGCTACTTATAATAATAATTATATAGTATATAGATATAATATTACGACTATCAAAACGTTTATTACATCTAGATAGAAAAAACCTCAAAATAATGATAGGGACAATAACGGGCCATTGTCCATTAAACAAACATTTATACACAACAGGAGCCACAGACAGCTCTCTATGTCGAGGCTCTTTCGACGCCGAAGAAACGGCTGCTCACGGGCCCATCAACGTTTAGAAATCCTCGGAACGGTGAGGTCGCTCCGTGAGGCCTGTGAAGAACCCAGGAAGCTTCTGCGCTACTGCGCGGAGCTAGGTTGGCTGTACTAGCCACGACTCATACGCACAACGGCCCAAATGAGAGGCTAAGCGCGGAAAACAGAGACTTTCTCACATTCACATTCACATTAGATATAATATTACTCATATAAAATGTGTACGTATGTGTAAATGTACGTACCGAGCTTGATACTTTCCTGTTACGAGTGGCGATACTCGGGTCACGAAGGCGCAGGGTAAGAAGGGGCCTATATTTTACTAAACTGTTATATTGTAGAAGTCCACATGACTAGTTAGTTTAGCAGCGATTTACTGATTTGTCTGAAGAAGCCTCGTTTAGAGATGAAGCAAAACGTGCGTGGACTGAATGGAAGTCGGAGATTGATGACTAATACAATTAATAATGTACAAACTTACAAAAAATCATGTTGTTTATTGAAACAAAATAATCTTTTTTGGCATTTTTGTTTTTTGTGTTTTATTATTTTATTAACAATTTCTAGGTAAAAATCTGATTTTCATCCGGCTTTAAAGCGAAAGTTTTCAATTCGGTTGTTTATTTTTTTTTAGGTTTGTTATCTCACGACTCTATAAGTTATAAACGAAATTGGATTTTTTTTTTCTATATGAAAGGATATACTTACAGATTGATCCAATAGAAATTTTATCTAAATCGTTTCAGTCATTTTGATTTAAAAACTAAAGTAAATTTTTAAATAAAAATAACTGTTTTGTCACAACTGAAATAAGGAGACTTTGTACAAAAGTCGATTGCTTGGTTACCTCTGTCCCATTCGTGTTTCAACCGTGAAGCAGTTGTGTTTGCATGGCTGTGTTTCGGTTTGAAGGGTATGAAGAAGGAGGATAAGCAGAATGAACAAGAATAACACCTGAGTCCTCAGGAATGGCAACGCATGGGGGGTATCATGGGTGAAATAGTATACTCTGTTATGTCCATGGTACTGCTCATGTGTATAGGCGACGGTTACGACTTTCCATCAGGTGGGCCGTCAGCTTGTTTGCCATTCTAAGTTGTATAAAAAAAAAACTGAAATAAGTTTTTTTTTCAACTTAGAATGACATACGAGTCGACGGCGTATCTGTTGGATAGTGATAAGCGTCGCTATAGACAGGAATTGTACCATAGATATTTTAGAGTATACTGTGTTGTTATTGTAATGTAAACTGGGAAAGGGATTGTTAGTAATATACCCAACCAGGTCGACCTTCTCGCGGTTCCCCCCTGAAACTATCATGGTTAATTCCTAATAAATTCATCATGATGGGCTAACTGGCTTTGTTTTCATTCTCATCGATCACCCTTCACTGGTGCTCCGCCAGCGTATCCCGTTAGCGCAGGCGGGGTTACCATACCATTTTCACCCATCAAAAAAATAACTTTTCTTTTTGTGGTACACAATATACATTATGTTATTACTTGCCAAGAGTTCTAAGAAAAAAAAGCCCTAAAATATGACTTTCTTAGAACGACATCAACTTGGAGACTATTTGAGTGGATCTCATATCATTGTCAGTTGGCAAGTTTGTGTGTTCGATTTATATTTACCGAGGTGTCTTTTGTCGGAATCGCTTCAGTTGGCGTTGTGACCCATTTACGGCCGAAAAAGTATGTTGAATGTCTTTGTATTTGGACAAATAAGAAAAATAAAAATTGTTGTCTTTTTATGTCAAATATTTTTGACATATAATATGAGAGTCAATTAATAAAATTAATTAAATTAAATATCAATCAATTTAAATATATATTAATTACATTTTTCAACTGACGTTACTCCGTTTTTGGGATTTTGCCTGTAACTGTCATGCTTCGCGTGCGGATTGGCACCCGTAGTTAGCTTTGGTAATGTTTCAAGAGGGACGCTGCTACCTATCTCTCTACCATTAAATTTCCTTAGCTAAAGGAAAGGAAGGGGTGGCACATTTTATGCCGGGACCACATGTTATATGTACAAATATATATATGTATAGACAGCTTAATAGGAACTATACAAGATAATATAGAACGTGATAAACTTAAGCCTTCAAGTTTTTCTTTCCGAAAGAGCTCCGGGAGAAATGTTTGCGGCAAGTTTCGGCTTATTTGTCTATTAAACTTGCTCAGTAGGACTTAACTAAAAATCCCTCGTACCGCACATAAATCAAGTTGGAAAAGATAATCTTTTCCTTTTATGAAACAGTAATTAGTTTCTTTTTGACATTATTAACTGTATATTAATGATCAGAACGTAATCATCATTATCAGTATATAAGCCGTTAACAGTCCACTGCTGGACATAAGTCTCCCCCATTAAGAGTGGGGGGGTTAATGGGTGATAATAGAATGGTAACCCCACCCGCGCTATCGGTATACATCGGCGGGGCACCAGTGAAGGATGATAGGTGAGGATGAAGTAAGTCAGTTAGCCCATCGTGACGAATTCAACATGAATTGTGGAGGTCGACCTAATAGGGCATATTGCTAGCAATGGGGCTATCAAACTCCATTGTTAACAATCCCTTTCCCAATATTTGCCAAATTTGGCAGGTGGGTTGGCAATCGCAGATAGGTTTTGGCGATATTTTAAGAGGAATGCTACTGGCAAAAACTCGACCATTAAATTCCCTTAGTCGCCTCTTATTTACATTCACGAGAAAGGAGGGGGAGGCTCATTCTATGCCAGAACTACACGGCTAAATAATAAATAATGTTACATGTGTAGGTCCCGGCATAGAATGGACCACCTTGCTTGTGGGTGTTGTAAGAGGCGACTAAGGGAGCATATGGTAGAGAGATGGGCAGCAGCGTCCCTCTTAAAACATATGTAAAAGCCTAACTGCGGTTGCCAACCCACTTGCCAAGCGTGGCAACTACTAGCAAAACTCTCCTTATAGGGAAATCTAATGTTCAGCAGTGGATAGTTAACGGCTGAAATAAAATAAAATTGTTACATGTATCTAAATAATACTTTTGTTTTTTATGAAGTAAGAATTATCATAGCCACCACGGCAATGCGGCCTTGTCTTATATCCATGAAATATGGGCACACTGGATGTTACAATGCGCACTAAGCACGTGTCTTCTTAACATCTAATAATAATGTAAATGCGCCCTTTTAGCGAGATATTCCTTTTGTTGGCAAACTCCCATGTAATATTCGAGTATTTCGTATTCCAAGTGTGAGATATTTTCATAACATTGAAACGTGAAATATTATTTTTGTTATGTGCATTCCCCCTTTTTTTTTAATTAACTCAAAGATTTCCAGTCTATTGAATCAAAGACTAACAAATATATAGTGATAGTATATTTTCAGAGTGATAACTAATATCAATACACCAAAAATATGTCAGTGATAATAGTGATAAGTAATTAATGTGTGTATGAAAATGTTAGCTTGTGTGTGCCAACCGACGGAGACAGCGTTGTTATTCAAAGGTGGACCTCCAATCACAATGGGACCACTCGGCACGAATACCAAGATACGGCAAACAACGGAGACTGCAAAGTCCGTGAAAGTGAGACCAAAACCTGTCCGAAGAGCTAGTGAAGACACAAAGGACAGCTCGTCTTTAAACTCCTCACCAACCTACGTCCATCCATCAGGTAGTCTACTAAATTTACGAAAAATTGAAAGAAAAGCAAAATCAACGAAAATCTTAGTGAACCCCGTTTGTTCTGATAGCGTAGGTACAAGTGATGATAGTAATAACTCTAAAACAGTAGATTCAAAATGGAATGGCAAGAAAAAACGACTGAAGCCTGAACAAGGTAAGACTCATAAAAAAGATGATGCTAAATGTGATAAAAATGATACAATTAGCCGTAATGCAGCTAAGAAGGAAGACAAGAAGTCGATATCTTGTTTCAAAAGGAAATCGTCCAGTGATAAATTACGTACGGATGATGATAAAAAATCTGGAAGAGAGAACTGTAGCAATGAAAATGCAAGTAATTCGATGAACGTAGAGAAACCAGATATTATAAACCATTCTAGGAAAAGTAGCAAAGAAATTGTGGTAGACGCAAGTAAGATGCAAGAGAGACTTCTGAAAACTGACCAAATAGGAAAGACTGATAGTGCTATAGCTGTTAAGGATAATGAGGTACGTTTTAGAAAATAATATTTCATATGCATGACATTATTTTTAGAATCATTAATGTATACCATGTCGTATATATTTAATGGGTTGGATAAGTATCCCTCCCAATAAGAGAATGGCGTTAGTTTACCAAAACTACATTGACTAGGTGGTATGGCATAAGACTATGCATAAAGTTTTATTTCGAGTTTTTTGTCTTTTATATAACTATGTTGTGCTGGGTCAACTTAGTCCTTATGAGAGCCTAAGGATGAAAAGGAGAGTACTTTATTACTTCATTACTTATAATCTGAGTCCATCACCATATTAATTAATTTGACGGTCTTCATAGCGTAATGGTGCCGATCACATTGCTTTGCGTGAATGAGGTTTGGGGTTTGAGTTCCGCTCGGGCCAATTTAGGAAATTAGCTTTTCTGAATTGGCTCAGGTCTGGTGTTCTCGGTTGTTCGGTGCTTGGTTCCTCATAATATAAGATAAATTTTGAGGATAAAGCAATTGGTGTGATTATCTGGCACTTATTGTTATTAATTTACTGTTTTTAATATTTCCTTTATATTTTTTTGCCTAATCCTAAATTAAGATGTGTAAAAATGAGGAAAAATTTTAGAGAATATACTGAAGAAGTTTACCCGAGAATCAAATCGATGATCTCTTTAACGCAAAATAAATTTCCTTTTTTACGTTTTTATGACCAACAAAGGCTATATAAGGCACGTTACTTAGTGTAGGTACATGACGACTGAATCGATTCGGACTATTTTAAGAATGGAACTCTTCTAAATTGACTTGGGTCTGCATTGTTTAAATATTTATAGTCTGGTCATTTATTAGTACACAGGTGTTTGAACAATGTTAAAAACTGACACAAACTTGAGAGCAGTAACATACTAATGACAAAACTCCTTACAGTTATTACCTTGTTCCTAATTATCTTAATCTTTCGAGCAATTATATGCTAGATCGTTAGTGTAAACTCAATAGATTTTTCCAGTCCTTTTTCGGATAGACTAATTACGTTATATGATAATTTGTGATGTAATGTTTTTATTTATAGTTGCACATTAGTCTGTGTGTGCGTGTGCTTGTGCGTTTGTGTGTGTAATTATTTTTGCGACATAAAATGGCAAACTGAGGTGATGGAAGCCGACCTGATGGTAAGTGGTACCTGTCACCTATAGACATGAATAGTATCATGCACATAACAGAGTTTACTGTATCGCCCATGATACTCTTCGTACGTTGCTATTCCTGTATGTATGTGTGTGTTTCTTGCAAAATAAAAACTTTTTTTATAATACACTTTTGTTTCTTCAATAAAAACTCGACAATTATATGAACAGAATATGTAATGTAATGTGGAAAAACCAAAGATTACGGACACGGCCAAAAGTTATTGAAATGTCATCTACAATTCAAATAAACGTAACAGCGGCAGTATTTTGATGTCTTATAATAAATTTATGAGTAAGTACGAAAATGTCAACGATGTTTTCTTAATAAATCTTCAATGGCATAAAGACATCACTTTTCCCTTCGAGGATGTTAAAACGCCAGTGTTTTTATATGAAAATTAATAATTTCCGAAAAAATGTGCGTTGTTTTTTTTTCGATGCGTAGGCACTTTTCAAACTTTTGTAATAAGAAATGCTTTGTTCCGGTGTTTAGTCTTAGTACTGAATCAGATATTAACTTCAATTTTTTAAAAGATGAAACTCTGATGGGATGTGGTAACTGTCGCCTATAGATATGAACAGTACCATAGAGAAAACATAGTATACTATGACGTTCTCATGCGTTGCCTTTCCTGAACATTAATGTATTATGCCTCTGTATTTTGCAATTTCACTATCATATCCCATCTTTCAAACAGAAACACGGCCATGCAAACAACTTTTTCTCGGTAGAAACACAAATGGGTTAGAGGTACGTTTTGTAATAGCACATGTTTTTTAAATGATAGCTGGTATTTTTTTTAAATCCAGTACCTTTATAATCTTTCTCTAGTGGAAAGCTTTTTCTTATTTATATTAAAAAACTCTAACTTAGAAAGGGGCTTAATCGTATCGGCGTAAACAAAATTGCAGGCCCTTACTATAAATTTAATAAAACCATAATGTATATTGAATACTGTTTCCAAGAAATTCATCTATATGGTGAAAGCTTCGAAAAATCCCTTGGGATTTATGGAGAATCCCACTTTAATGTCCACTTATATAGTACAAGGAACTCTTGTACAAAATTTCTAGTTTCTAATGTATTTTAGATAATACGTTGATATCACTATTATATTACACAGGTATGACAATATGTGTATAATTATAAGATTTTCTACTCTTTGTAGCTTAAGTTTTGTTAATCTACGATTTTGTTTGTTTACTTAATTTCATTTATTCCTGTTTAGTTTTTCAAGAGTATTTGTGTAGGTAAATAAACAAACATCTTCACGTCACGTGTTATTTGCCGTACATAAGGCTTAAACAAATTTGCTCCATCACGCATCTTTCATTAGAGCACTTGTTTCATTAAATATTTCGAATAGAGATACTGATCTCTTTATATGTTCTCTGAAGGAATTAACAAGAGCTGGAATGTTTACTATTTGTTAAGTTGTTACTAGTTGTTAATTAAGATGTATTCTGTGAGGACATGGAAACAAGGAAATAAAATAAAAACAAATATATATAAACTTTCCTTTTGGTTTAACAATTTGTTATAAAATGTAGCATACGCAATATTTGTCATCGAAGTCGCGGGAACAGCTAATTTACGCTAACCTAACAGTAGCGCCAGAGTTGCTAGACACGATTTTTTATTTTTACCCAAATATCAAATATTTTTTCTCCCAGTCGATACGATTCCCTTTACTTTTACCCCGTTACACAAACTCTTATCTCTTTCCACTACGTTTTTATATTTTCCCATGAATCACAAAACGAATGATGAAATAAAAAAAAAACACTCAATAACAAACATTTATCACTTTTCACTTCATTTGACCATGTATCACAAAAAATAACTTCTATTTCTACTTTTACCTCTCTTTATTTTAGTCCCATTTTTTGTTTGACTTTCTCAATTTATTTATTTATTTATACTAAATTGGGTAATAAAATGTACAAAAGGCGGACTTAATGCTATAGACATTCACTACCAATCAACCTTTATCAACGTTCATTCATATATATTTTTTATATATCTATATACACTTTACAAATACACAAAACGGTCCAAAAAATTATATGCTTTATATACAAAACTTTATTTTTGAGGTTGACTTAAAGAAAACTTTTTAAGGGATAAGATCGCATCTGTACATTTTTGTTATAACCTAATATCTATATTATAAGTGAATGTACAGGAGCATATAAATAAATAAATAAAATTGCCGAAATTTCTCCAAGTCCATTTCGCTTTTGTCCAAAAATTTCTTTAGTTTAATTTCTCCAAAATTTCACGAACAGAAAAAAGCACCCGAAATTTGGGAGAAATACCTAATCTAGCAACGCTGAATAACACGGTACTTATCAAAATCCCTCAGTTTTGAGATTCTCTAATTAGATATCAAAATATTCTTGACACTCCACTTTTGTAACTAAATCGACATCTGCGCACTAGTGTAGACGATGATAACTCAATTGTATACGGAATCCGGTTCATTATCAAGCCTGTGGGAGCGTCTCGGCGGCGTTTCAATCTGTATGTTAATGAGTATCCGAATCGTAAGCATTCCCCTCTCATTACTACTCAATGGACCACTAGTAACGTAGACACTGGCGCTGCTTCTTCAGTTTCTAAAGAGCACAGACCAAAGACTTTTCCCATAATTATATGAAAATATTTCTCATTGTTTCGTTCGAAATATGAATTCTTTAAATCATTACCGTCGGGTTTGTTCGGATAATTTTATTTTCGAGATATGTAATTTTCTATTCCGAGAACCATTATGGACTGTGAGCGGAAAAAAATGTGTCAGATGTCATTAAAATAGATAAATGAACATATCTCCACTGTATTTTGATCTATTTCTTTTAATCTTTATTTTACTGAATTAGGTATTACGCATAAGACCATATTATCGTCTCGGATCGTGAAGCTGGCTCTCATCATGGAATGTAGTGCACTCGCAAATTGTATCTCTTTTTAAGGATTTTTCTTGTCATTAATTTGTTGGTACACTGGATTCTTGTTCTGTTTTTTTTTTCTTTTATTCATTGTTTTTATACTTATTTATTTGAGTTTTTGTTTTCTTTTTTTTACTTTTTGTGTAATATCTACATTAATATATATAAATATTTGATAATGAAACGGTGCTCCGTGTAGGTGCAAACTAAAAATCAGCGCTGAACGAACATCAGTCCAGCAAAAGCTGAAATTGTACCTATTGCCAGGCGCATACTAATACTGCACAATATATTTATTAATTGATATATGTACATTATAATTTCTGTGAAGGATGGCAATAAATTTATTATTATTATCAGTTAGTTGATTAGAATTATATAATTCAATTCCGGTACCATTAGAATGTTTGTAGTTTGATATTAAAGAGAGATCACTATTAGTTCTATTAAATTCTCTATTTATGAATCTCTGACCGTTATTTAGTTCACGCCTATATTTAAATTCAAATCATATTTATGCAAACAGACTTGTTTGCAAGCACTTTAGATCGTCATTCTTTTTTATTCTACTGCAGGGTTCGTTAGATTGTTATCTGTTGAGAAGAGCCTGCAAGAAATTGAACAGTAATTCTTTTAAATCTCTTTTGCATGTACGTTTATTAACTTGAACCTGACCTTGTAACTTGAAGTCTAGAGTTACTCGTCTGGTGTCCAGACTCCTAGTGACATTTTATCAACAATGTTGCAAATTTTTATAACATTTTATAATTTACAACACGTTATATTATAAGTGGATTTTACTTACCTACTAGCAATTTTTGTTCCGCATAGAGAAATGGGCGCTGCAGTCATCACAAAATTAATACGGGATTGTCACGGG